ATAATTGAGAAGCATTAAACTGTCAAACACCAAGCAGTCACCGGTGACCGCAACCTATTGTTCTATAATTGTGTCTATAATGACGGTACTCGACGAGTTAATATTTTTGTTGAAGTCGTTGATATATTTTAAAGAATGAATTAACGTTAGTTAAAAGACGTCGCTTCTGGTGTCCTTAAAGATAAATGTGAATTTCTGCGCATAAAATTTTGGAACCAGTCAGTACCATTCATGTTATTTTAATGCCAAGAAGGAGGAATGTTTTTAGCATTAAGCTGCACACCGCATTGGTAAACGTAAACCGAAATTTTACGATAGTACAATTTTATATTACCTGGCAAAAATGAACCGCGTGCACACTTCCGCTCACTACGCCGTTCGACGGGACACTGGCTATGGCAACATGATGCGTCGTTGTTTATAGGTCAAGTCGAGTCAAAAAATACGTTTTTTTTTAATGTCCTTTAAGGTTATTTTTTTTTCGATCTCTTTGACTGTATTTTAGTGTTACATTGTTCTCGCACAACCCAAACAACAAAACTATGTAACTGGAGAATTGTGAACTTGATTGAAAAAGAGTAACCTATGGAGTTTCTCGCTCGTTCTTCTCCATAGGAATCTACACCTTGGAATGAGCAAATAGCTTCACTCGATGTACTGGTAGATGTTGCCTTGTTTTCATCCAAGATTTGCGTCGCAAACTGCATCACTCCCATCTTAAATCTTCTTTTTTGATTCACATTCAAGACCTTAATTTCAGGCAACATACTTTGGTGGAAAGAAAGATCAATCAAGTGGTTTATCTTTTTTTCATGTCTTTGTCTTGAGGTGAAGTAATCGTACGCAGATTGATCGACTTCTTTAATAGGAATCGTTGTAACTCCCAAAACCGATTTAAATCAACTTGTAAGTTGTTAATGTGTATACGAACATGCGAAGGGGAATCCGATTGATGGTAATATGCACCCGAAATGAGCCAACCTAGTTTTGACTCAAGCAATGTGGGTTTATGAGTACCTAATGCGATACGGCCACTGCCTATGATACCCCAGAAGACTTCCGCACCGATAAGGACGTCGATCGAAGACGGAAAATAATAAGTGGGGTCAGCAAGGCGCACGTTCTGTTATGATGGCGCTCCGAGAGTCCCTTTTTAGAAATGACACCACAAGTACTGCTAATAATTTCTTTATTTTACACTTCACAACTTTCGACTTACAATAATTACTGTGTGATATAGAACAGTGTTAGTAGTTGAATAAGTTTTCTGAAGTGACTCTATATACTGATATATACTGACTAAGACGTATATTTTATCCTATATGGCCAGTGGTGGGGGGTTATCCCTTAGTCGATAAATTATACTTGCGCGTATAAGTGCCGCAGGATGTATCGATTGCTTTAATTGCAATTTACATGTATAGGGCTTTGTTCACAACAATGTAAGGAGTGCTTAAATCTTTGTTAATAACAATATAACGATTGTTTAGGTGGTAATTTATAAGTATAGGGCTTTGTTACCAACAATGTAAAGATTGTTTAGATTGCAATTTGCAAGTATGGTTCTTTGTTAACAACAATGTAAGGATTGATTAGATTATAATTTACAATAAGGCTTTGTTCATAACAGTTCGTAGGTATAAGTATGTTGCTGTTATCAACATAGGTATGTGGAACCGATGCTGATACTTTCGGCAATATGAAACAATCGATATTCAGTTTGTATTCACTGTCGTCAATTGATATTAACGACACTGAACACCCCTGACAACAACTAGAAGAATGAGAGTTTATACCTGTTACCTTGGTTTTGGTAATGTAGGTAGAAATATGCAGCTTACGAACAAAGTCCTTCTCGTCGTCGTCCTCCTGGACGAAGACCATTCATGCATACATTGATATTAGAACCCTGAGCTTTTTTAATGCGAGCGTGTACTGAAAGGCTTTTAAACTGTTCACATGCAAAAATAAAATGATCTTGATGACACATAGGACAAGTCAAAGCTTTTAATGACGTTTCAGGTAACATTGCATGCATTGGAAAGCAGACAAATTTGGAGATTAAACAAAAGTGTTCCTGTGCTTTTCCCACTTAAGATTGGTTATGTGGTGGAGCTTACTGGTCATTATGTAAATGATAAGTACGTCGACGAAGCTGTTCTGAACAGGTTGACCAAGGGCTGCCAATGCTCTAAAGTTTTTGTTTGTAGTGTCAATTATATATCGTAATGACTTACTTGTCTCTCTGTCAATAGACTGAACGTTAAAGAGTGCTTGCATATGATTGTTGACAAGCAATCTTTTATTGTCATACCTCTCACAGAGTAACTCCCAGGCAGCGTCGTAGTTTTCTGATTTGAAGTCGAGGTTGTCAATAACTAAAAAACCCTTTAAGATCAAATTTGACACAAATGAGATCAACTTTTACACGTATGCAAACGATTAATTATAATAAAATACACTCAGGGGCACATTTAACCGGACACCTACATTTTTTCAGTTCTCTTAAAAATCAGTCAAATTGAAATAAATTATGTTATGATATTAAGTAACACAGATATACACGAACATAAATGAAACATGTGTAAATTGTTAAATGGTTTATGTAGCCAAAAAAAATAAATAAATGTGAAAATGGAGTTTGCTTACAAAAAAATAAAAATGCGAAAATGGATTTAAAAGAAAAATGTACCCTAAATTTACGAATTAATAATGTGTATTCCCTCCCCTGGCCCTAATGACTTCATGCAACCGATTTGGAAGCCCATCCATTATGTCTTGGATGTCACTTTGGGGGATGTTTTCCCATTCCTCGATTGCTGCTGCTCTTAGCTCACCGAAGGTGCTTGGAGCTGGTGTACGACCTCGGATTCGTCTTTTGAGGTTGTCCCACACATGTTCTATTGGGTTCAGGTCAGGACTCCGAGCTGGCTGGGTAATCGCTGAATATTGACGGCATCCAAGTACTCGGTAACAACCCTCGCGGTGTGTGCACGAGCATTGTCGTGTATTAAAACAAAATCATCGCCTATGAATGGCGCAAAAGGTACCACTTGGGGTTCTAGGACTTCTGTCACGTACCTGTGAGCATTTACACTGCCTCCTTTAAAGATTACCAGCTCTGTACGGGCGTCGTAAGATATGCCACCCCATACCATTATCGGGCCTCCCTGGTATCCTACGGTTCCGACCACAGCACATTCAGCAAATCTTTCTCCGCGTCTATACACGCGCTGGCGTCCATCAGGACCTCGTAGAGAGGTTCTTGACTCGTCTGAGAAGAGAACCTTCTTCCATTGTTCCGAAGTCCAATTTGCATGTTCTTGGGCAAATCTTAGTCTCGCTCTTCTGTGCGCTGCAGTCAATTCTGGGACTCGAGCTGGTCGAAATGCTCTCAGATTCCGCTCTGCTAACCTTCTTTTTATTGTTCGTAGGCTTACACTCACATTACGAACTTCAAACAATCGCCTACGAGCCTCAGAAGTTGTTGTAAACCGATTTTGCAGAACATTTGAGACGATGTATCGATCATCCCTCTCCGATGTACACCGTCTACGACCTTGCCCTGGCCTTCTGGTGTAGGAACCAGTCTCTCTGTAACGCCGGATGGCATCTTGGATAGTGGTTCGAGGATATCCAAGCATCCGTCCAATTCTACGCTGGCTGAACCCGGCGTCTGCAAGTGCCACAGCCCTAGCTGCACCAGCCGCATCCAATGGCATTTTTTTAGTCTTAATTTAATCACAGCACCCTAACAACTTGTTTTTTTATCAAACAACTGGTACGAGAAAGTCTTAAAACAAACGTGTCCGTCACCCAAAACTTTTTTTAACTTATTTTCGACTATGTTGTCGTTTAAATTATACCGCAAATCACTTAAAATGAATTTTAGGAACGAAAAGAAACGCTCCACACTAACTTGCGTAGCTAGAGTAGCTAGAACTGTTGTTGCCAAACGAAATAATTGAGCTTCACACACAAATTAACTTTTCCAAAATGTTAATATATTTTCTGAGGGCGGTATTCGTGGATGGCAAGAAAAATTCTCTAGAAGGGCTGTTATATTTGCATGAGTCTGGACATAATGGTCACGGCGGTAACGGTGTTTCGGCTAGAATTGATTCAATTTCATCTACAGCATCAGTAACTAGTTACGATGAGCTCGCAGTTTCAACGTCAGGTTCCTGCATAGAATTTGCCTCTACTTTTAAAATTTGCCTCCAAGTCATATTATGATGCCTAACAGCTAATGCTTCTTCGTCTGCTGACACGACTACATGGAATCTAGGATCCAGATACAAAGCACTAACAAATGTTGGGTTAAGCATTAGCTGTTTTTTTCTTATTTTTGATATTTTTACATATAAATTGGACCAGAGGTAAGTGCGATGTCTCTAAATAACATTTGGACCAATGGTAATATAAGTCACCAATAGTGATTTGTTTTCTCTGCTGTACCTTGGTCAGTATTTTTGCCGGTTTTAGTGACGTAATAAGGTCATTTAAAGCATCCCAGGTTGTTGGTGACACATACAGACTTTCGCCTGGTGTTTGAGAACAGTACTCCTTTAAATCGACGAGCCGTTCTAACATGTCCAACGTTGAATGCCATCGTGTAGTCACGTCCAGAAGCTACTTATTTTTTTTTTGACGCTTCAAGTAAGTTTCGATTTCGAAGTTTGCGTACAATACTGCGAGCTTCATCTATAATATGTATTGATTCGTCTTCCTGTAACGCGTCGTTGACTGCAAGCTGCAATGTATGTACAGCGCACCGTATCGAGATGTGCTCCTGCACACGATGCCGCCACCGCGCAGACGCGACGCCGCACAACTACACTGTACATACGAATCGCGCAAAGACCGCCACCGCGCATCCGCCGCGCGCGTTCTTAGTTATTTCAATCTGTCAGCGTCACTATCTATCTCATTCTATCACTTTTGTTCATTACACACACTCGAGACTCCGATATGTTAATACAAAAAGTATCAATTCGCACGCTGAGAACGAAAGTGACCGATTTCAAAATTTACGATTTTTGGAAATAGATAAAAATGTGTCGGACACATTCACGATATTCCATTTATTCGCCAATAAATTAATATTATGACAACATAAGTTAAAAAAATCGTTTTTGTATCATTATTGGACTTCATTACCATAAATATACATTATTATTTTTTTTTATATTTTATATTTATAATATAGAATAACATTTTTAAAAAAATAGGTCACTTTAGAATTGAAAGTATTGTAATTCCTGATGACTTTTTTGGTCAAGGGTCTATATTATTTTGAGCAGTACTAAAAAATATCAATCCTTTTTCAAAAAATGACACTTTTTCTCTAAAAAAGGTTTGCAGTCTTACACAAAAGGACAAAATGAAAACAATGAAAAATTGTTAAGTGATATTGAGTCACTTCTGAGGTAAAATAGACTTAATAATAATATATAAACAAGAAATATGAAATAATAATTAAAAATTGTATCAAAAATAGGTATCATACAACACAGTGAGTATTGTTCTAACTTACTAGAGGTTTAGTAAAAAAAAGACAACTTTTCAAAATAATACTGGCATAGAAAAATCAACACAGTCTTTCATTTATTCATGACTTAGTTTCATAAATCAAGTAATGACTCCACACAAAAGTATTGTTCTGACTTAAACTAATTATAAAAACATTCTTAAATTGGAAAAAAATAACATAAAATAATTATTTTTGTAACAAATTAAAACAGGTTTCTCTTAAATCAACACTAGTCTAAAATAAAACAACAGTCTTCCAAAATATAACTTAGGAACTTTGTACTTACTCTCCACTACTATAATTACTATTCAAACATACTATTTATTTTTTAAGATACATAGTATATTAACTTTTTAAGAATCACTTATTATTAAGTACGATACATAGTATATTAGCTTTTTAAGAATCACTTATTATTAACTTTGTTATTACAACGATTAATCTATAAGGAATTATAAAAACTCGCATATATGCTAGGTATTAAATTTTTTCTTACTAAATCTTTAAGATCTCTTTTTTTATTTTCTTTTAACTCTATTGGTTGCTTATACAATTGTTCAATCAGGATTTCGTTGTAACTTAACATTTTTTTACGTTTATTCCTCATGTCAATCTCAGAGAACACCTCATCAGAATATGATATTTTATAATACAAGTGAAACAACTCCTCTTTAATAAATTTTATTGATTTAATTTCATTCCACAATACTGGTAATTTATTTATATTTTCGTTAAAATTGTATGCCCATTGTTCTTGGAGTTTTTTGAGATTTAAGAAAAATTCGTAATTTATTTCTTTAACGATGAAAGGCTTTCCTGATTTACGAGCGCTTTTAATTAAGGTAGCGAATTGAACAGGTATGTATAAGGGTCCAGCTTTAATGTTTTTTTTAATTTCTTTTTCAATTAAGCTGTGTACATTATCAGCTTCATTTTGAGTATGTCCTTTGATTAGATACTTATGAGTAATACTGTAAATATTATCAAAATATGTGACAGCATAGGAGTATAAAGTGGCAATGATTTTATTTTTATTTTGACCTGTGCAGTTGTCAGAGTAAAAAGTTACATGTAACTTCTTACCTGCGTTATTTCTGTTTAAAGTACTAAGGTAATCAAAAATACACGAACCTATTTCATTGGCACCTCTTTGGCCTTGGGTTTCATCCCAAAAATAACAATAAACATCTCCGTAAGACTTTTTATCATCCTCCCCATTTTTTAATTGTGTAATTGTAAAATTAAGACAGTTTATTTTGGAAGAATAGTAAAAATAATCAGGACTAGGACATAACATAACAGACTGAAGGTCATATATTGCGCAAATATGTGTCTCATCAATATTTTGACGATCCATCCGTTTTTCATTGCGACACAGTTCTTTTTCTTTAAGATGTGTATCATATTTAGGTTTTAGCAGTAATTTCGTACTTGCGGGGGCAAGTTCATATGCAACACACGTTTCACACCTATCTTTTTTCGCCTGGAAAAAGCTTATATTGAAATCTTTATTAAAAGTGTTCAGGTATAACCAATAGTCGCACTGCGGGAGACTTCTGTCTTTTTGTTCATTATTAAAATCAGTCCAGAGGTCTCTGATAGTTTTACTGTCAGATATGAATTCCCTACTAGTCGTAGCTCTTAAATAATGAGACTCGACCCTCGGTATCGTATTTATGTGATTTTTGATGCATTGTATTAGCTCAGGGTCTACCCTTTTTTTGTTTTCATGCCGACCTCTACCCTCAGGTTCTACGAAACCATGGCTATTAGTTTTACTCTTGACAGTTCTTAGTTGTCTATCCGATATGTCTAAAGTATTTATAAAAAATTGTTTACAAACACGAATTCTATTACCATTTACAGTGAAATAAAACGCATTGTTTGGCAGGCGAGGATTTTGAGCATTAGAATATCTATATCTAGGTTGTACTTCCATCATGGATGCCCTAATATATGAACGTTGTAATTCCAAATTGGACAAAGCCCAATAATTCTTAAATAATTCAGATCTCTCAGTCTCATTTATATTATTGAAACACTTAAGCCTACACTTACTTGTACAAGTTTCTTTGATTTGTCTAGCTGGAATGACTTTTTTAGATTTTGCCATAGACCTATAACTCTCTCCAGAGTTTCTTGACTTTTTAGATTGGTTTTGCTTCCAATTAACAGGGTTCCTTTTTCGTTTTCTACTCTTTGAGGGTTCTGGTTGGACCAATGAATTGGCAGATGAAGAGCTGGAAATACGTCTACTCCTTGGATTGTTGGATTGTTCAGTATGGTATGTTGGATCTGAGTCGCTTAGATCCACATCACTTTCTTGTGGATTAACTGGCGATTGAGTGTACGAACGTGGAATACCTGCTTGAGGCCTTAAATTAGTACTTGGGCCAGGAATTGCTACAGTCTCAGATTTGTCCGTGCTACTGGAGGATGAAGATCTGCTACTGGAGGATGAAGATCTACTCGAGGATGAAGATGAAGATGAGGATGAACTGCTACTACTTGAAATTCTTGAACGTGGCCGGACGGCAAACACTTTACTTGACGTCTTATCGATAGTTTCTGATGCATCATTTATCTCTTGCTGAGGATTCTGAACATCCTGGAAAAAAGATAAAGATTACAAAATCTAATTAAATAGGTATGAGGTTTCACACCGCTAATAAAAATAATGAAACACTTACACCTATCGGTTTCAATATCTTGTTTTCGCGTAATGCTATTTGAATGCCCTGGTCTGGTGGTGGTGAATTTTCTATAATAGAAGGACTAGATGGTACATTTTCCTTGTCGATATCACAAGCCTCATTAGTATTCTGCAAACAAAATCTTAGTTTACAACCATTCTGTACATACGTAATGATAAAAAACGAGAATATAAAACGTTTAGGTACTTAATAAATAACGGCTAATTAAACATTTCAATACTTTAATTAAATAAAAAATAATTAATTACCTCGGTTTTTTGTTTTTCGTCCACCATTTGAAGTATTAATGCACTCCTTTTCATTTTTATCTTTTTAGATAACAGGCTTAATTATGATATTATGCAACTCTGAAAAACAATAAAGTGAACTATTAATCAATATGTCTTTTGTAAAACACATCATAATAATGTTAAAGAGTCTTTTTTTATAATAGTACAAATAAAAAAATATCTATTTAATATTAAAATAACCTAATTTACAATGAGTCTTTGAGTTAAACTTATACGTGAATAAATAAGTGACTGAACTTGATTTTGGACACATAAGTTGCTTATATAAGAAAAGGTAAAGTGACCTTTGTCTCAATCGGTCACTTTATGATTAAATATTGAAACAAAACTTACCTCCTAAGTTGATACAAAACAGGCTCAAAGCGTAATCGGTCACTGCTGCACTAAACTCGTCACGACCTGTTTACATCACGTGCGGTACAATACTGATTACGTCTCTTTCCCTCGGGCGCGGCGCGTGTAAAGCGGTCTACTAAAAAGAGACCGAATATGTGTCCTAGCTCTCTCTGACCATATTAGGTCCGTTTTTTAATACTAGTGTGGTAGCGTATACTTTTTTGAGTCATTACGTATAATTAACTCATTTTATCAAAATTTTGAAATAGGTCACTTTCGTTCTCAGCGTGCGATAT